TAAAAGTCACCTATGTCTGAATAACGAATCATGCTAGCAGTGTTTATGTATTCTGGGACAGAAAAGGGTTTCAGAGTGATCAGGCAAGGCCTCAGTCTCAGCCTCAGTCTCAGTCTCAGTCTCAGTCTCAGCCTCAGCCTCAGTCTCAGTCTCAGCCTCAGTCTCAGTAAGTCCTCAGTGAGCACAGACACATTTGTTAATGCTCTGATGAAGGCCATCAGGTCGAACAGTTAGCATGTTTGTTGGACATGGCCAGAATAAATTGATTGAAATTGAGATTAGTCAACTTTGTCCTAGAAATCTGTGTGTGCTGCTACCTTTTCCACCTTTGGGTATTCAACATTGAGACTTAGCTGAATGTTTGTTAGCATTTTTTTATGAAATAATGAACAACTGTTGACTGATTTAACAACGATGTCTCTTTACAACATAGTTTACTACCACAAGTTGGGAATAATGATGATGATGTTATCGTAAGCATCCGTTTGTGACCGGTTTTAAACGTAGACTTGAGAGGATTATGACGCCTTTTAATAATATGACATTAAATTAACGTGTAAGTGTCTGCCTCTATCTATTTTTCCCCACAGATGTTCTTTGAGGATCATATCGATGATGCAAAGTACTGTGGTCACTTGTACGGGCTGGGCTCCGGCTCGGCCTACGTCCAGAACGGAACGGGGAACGCTTACGAAGAGGAGGCTAACAAGCAGCAGTCGTGACATCGCTCTGAAGCTCTCCCATCCTGCGGTTCAACATGCACTATCAGTGCGGCACTGAAGCCAAGCTTCGCCAACCGGCTGATGATGATGAGAATAATAATGGAAGAACACAAACATACACACATCATTTAGCAAGCTGCTTCTCATAGGCTCTGCTCACTTTAGATGACTGAACATGATGGTAAAAAAAAAAGAAAAAGAAATCACAGCTGTCCTTAAACATGTTCCTGTTGGCTGCGTGTGAGTTTAGTCTTTTATTCCTACAATGCAGTTTAGGCAGCCTGGTTGGATCAGTTCAATTTAACATGCTTGAAAATATGGGATTTTAGTTTTCCTAAAATGTTCTGTAGAAAATGTTTTGCACTTTAAAGCTCTAACCTGATTTTATATGGAAAGCTGAAAATGTTTCTGGTGTCTCCTCTTTGTTGCCTTTCTCTACGTTCCCGTTTTACATTTTTCGAACATGCACAACCGCCCTCACCACGCTCAGCCTTACTATTAGCTGCATTCTTACCTTTTAAACTTTAATTTATTGTGCTGGTTATCTGACAGTGAATGGATGCCCAGTTGAAGGAATAGGACACCACATGTCAGTGCACTTGCCCTCCTGTCATCCGATCTCTTGTATGATAATGAGAAAGGGATCTCTCAGTGAGTCTGTTTACGTCTACATGAATATCTCATTGAAGTTTTTTGTTTTTTCTCATGTGTTCATATAAAGATAATGTTTATTACGACATGAATAAGATCTAATCCCACTGTGAGATGCCTTTAACTAACAAGCTGGTGTATTCTGCTTATATAGATGGGACTAAAACAAGTGACCATTTCCTCTTTCCTATTCGTTGCCGTTTCCCGTTTTGTACTCATGATAACGCTCCGATATATACAGTACGTACTACACGCATACGTTCGTAGGAAGAATGTGGATTGTTTGTGCATGTAAACACCCTCAACGACACAAGCACATACCAACACAGATGCATCACATCTCTACATGACCTCCCGCCGATTTCAACTAAATTCACCAGACCTTAAAGAAACAATTAAAAAGTATCTAAAAAAATAAAACACTCGTCTGCTGTAAGACATGCCGAGGTTACCCTAAACTACTCTGTTGAGAGTAAATGTTCATTTTTAATTGAAATTAAGGTTTTGTAGAGTTTTAGTGTTGTAATAAAAGAAGAAAAAACTTTTACTTGTTGGGGAGGAAAAAATAAATAACATTGCCTTTTAATATGCATCTTTTTTGTTCCAGTGGAGCTTCAATTCACTTTTTCTGGCCTTTCGAATGACTATTTTTTGTTTTTGCATTGCTCTCCAGTTCATTCATGCCGCCTAGAACAGCCGCATGTACTAAAACGTTTGAATAAATGCCGTGTTGTTGAATAGTATCCTGAACTTCCGTAGGTGTGTGTTGAAGTGTAGGTTCACCACTTATTAACCTCCCTCAGCGTCGATAACTGAAACGCTTTTCTTTCTTTCTGCAGCACATCTTCCACACTGTAAAGGAGTAAAAAAAGAAAAAAGAATATGCAATATATAAGAGGATTGTTTTTAGATTATTTTGTAAATAAAGGCTTGAAAACTTTTCTACCATAAAATGCTCTTTTATATCTCTTTATTGACATAGTTCTTCTCAACGTGCAACGACGAGTTGAATAAAGAGGCTGAAGATGAGCTCATTTTATTCTTATAAGGCATCACAACTGTACAGTACATTACCTCACACATCCATATTGTCTCTTGAGTCATACAGACAGAAGAATAGAAAAATATAGATTGACACTGACTGTCACCATGGAGCTTTTTTTTTTCTGAAACAGGCATACATTCTTCCAACTAATTTAAAGTGATATTTTATTTCCAGCCAGAGACGAGAACAGACAGAATCCTCAGAAGGTGAAAATATACTGTACAAAGCGACTGGAGCTGTTATCATTTTAGTTTTTTTGTTGTTTTTTGCTCTGCAGTGCATCCACAGCATCGTGTTGTGAGTTAGAAAAACACTCAACAGTATCTGCTTTTTTTTTAGATGGTGAGCAGATCTGCAGCATTACACAGAGGCTGGTGTGCTGGCCCTCCAGAGACAGTCGGGAAGCTTTTTTTTGGCCGGCAGTTTGACTGTAGGCTACCAGACAGCAGTTTAGATATTTGGCAGAGGTGGTGGTGGGAGGGGGGGGCACACGCTGTCGCAGCACAGAGCAGCACCAGCTCTCAGGTGTTTCAGTGTGACAGCAACATCCTCACTCATGCTATAACGAGTCAGAAGAGCCCTTATTCAGATTACTAATTAATACACTTTTTTTTTTTTGTTGTTTCCAAGCAAAAGGGGAGAACATCATCTTGTGGTACAGTTCACTACAGCAAAGTGTGTTTGTGTTGACATCCTGAGATGAGAGCATGCATCATTTGAACTTCCACAACATGGTGGGAAAGAAAAACAAAAAACCCCAAAAACCTTCACTGAAAAAAGAAAAATGGCTAAAGGAATATCAGTTTTTTATCAGTTACATCACATTAATACCACTGCTAATCTATACTTAGTGTGAAAACATTTGGCAAACTCATACAGCCGTTACTTTATGTGCTAAGCTATGAAAATAACATAAAACAAATAAACCTGTGATAATTCTACTGTAACATACAAAAGCAGCTCAGATTGATCCTCCTAGTGTACAAAGTGCAAAATCATCTCTTCCATTGCTGCTCTGTGCTTTTTCATATACAAACAAAAGAAAATAGTGATAGTTGGAATGCAATATTAACTTCAATCCACTTGTTCTGAAGCCCAAAATACTTTCAGATAGCAGCAGGAATTGTTGCTTATAACAATAACAGTAATACTGATGTTTGTTTTTTTTCTCTGGTTTCATATGCGACACCAGTGATGTAAACCTCTCAGAAGCAGGGTGCAGTATGGAGAACAACAAATACCGATGAAGTCACCACCACGTCACGTTCTGATAGGCACAAACACCGAAGAGGGGGCAGCATAGACCTGTTGGGTGAACACACATAGTTAATGGATATTGATTTTATTATGGTATTTATTTTATTCTATGGTAACAACAAATCATAAACTCGACCTGGCTTGACTTCATGACCTTTTTCCTTAAGGGACCAATTTTCTATCATCGAGTAAACTCACGACCCTTGAATAAGTGACATATCTTATGGAAATTTCAAATTATACCTAATACATAACAATAACAGTACAGACCAACTCATAAACTGTACAATAATCCCACATAGCGAACACAATAACTGCAGGAAGTTTGTGTAAAATTAGCAATTTAGATGAATTTTGGGCAGATTATTTCCTGTAAATATGGCCTCGGAGATGAGTTTTACTGATATTTAATTTAATTCTTGGTTGTTTGAACTTTTCTAAAGCAGGACGAGGCTGTGAATATATCTTCACCGCGCCCTTATCCTGTTTATATCTTAAATAAGTATCTAAACTTTGAAATAACTTGTTTAATTTAGTTTTCTTCAAAGAACCTTATAATCAAGAACGCCTTGCGACTCCATGTGAAGCTCTGGCGACCTCTAGTGGGAAACCACTGATTTATTGCATGAATTAAGGCAGGATGAATTCCTGTTGCTCACCATTAACAGATGATAAATTGGGGGATGTTAATTCAAACACGAATTGATGTGCGACCAAATTAGCAGGATTCCGGTTACATAAAAGTTTATTTCAGGGCCATGCAGTTGCTCAGCCACTCTGATAAAAACAAATATCCTCACATTATAACCCAGTGGTATTTTTAACATATTTACAACATAATGGATAATTAAAGGGGACAATGATGAGACCTGTCTAAGCTCCACTGCTTTCAACAACACAATAAAAGAACAACTTATGTTCCACCCAATATGTTGTAAATGTTACATTTTAATCAGAGAGACTCAGAAAATGCTGACAAACAAATATTCTGTAAGAGGAATCCGTCTAATTGGCCACATATTAATCAAAAATTAATTAAATAAAGTATGAGTTAACATTCCCTAACTGATAATCTATCAATTGGACAACAGGAATTTATAATACAGCCTTAATTAGTTAATGCATTTAATCATTGTGAGTCAAGCATTAGTTAAGTTATATTTAAATATATTATTTGTACTCTTATTAGAAAGTGTTACCGATTTAATATGTATCTTGCTAGGTGAGTAACTTTGGTATTAATAATAATAATAATTAATGACAAAGTGCTTTACGAAACAATAATGTAATAAAATGGTGGACAAACAATTATAAAAAATAACAATTATAATTGTTATAACATTATAAAAGTTATACAGTATGAACAAAAGGAGCTACATAGGAGAAAGAATACAATAAGTCAAATATAAAAATATATAATAATTAAAATAAGACTTAAGAGAATGTCTTTGTGGGTTTTAAGAAGTGACTCAATAGCTAAAACAGAGTTCAGACTTGTAAAATATGTTTTTGAGAGGGATTTAATTGAGTGACTTTATAAGTGTAAAGTTACTTTTCTGGGTTGAAGGTTACACCTCTATCTCCAACTCTGGTTACGCCTCATTCTCTATGGTCATCCCTGGGTTGCTGGCACCTGCACACACACACACA